GGGAAAGAAAAAACTCGGCAAAAAACATGGACAAAGGTGAAAAATAAAATTCAAATGTTAGTGACACTTAAAAATGAAGCAATTAAAAACTTCAATAAAAGGACCATAGGTTAACTAAAGACTTGAACTTATAATTTCCACCAAACGACAATGTGTAAGCGCCCTTACAGTCTGACTCTCTAAAAAAGTCCCTAACAGAGTCGCCAAGCTGTCATAACCATTTTTTTAAAACAATTAAATATTATTTTTAAAAAACGATTAGAACTTTAATTTTGAAAATTTGATATTTTGGATTAATTTGGAATTAAATTGAAAAGGGAGTCGCCATCAACCTTTGGGTTAGGTAGGTTGAATACCTAAAAACATTTTTTTAAAACAATTTTAAAGAAAAATAATTTTTTAAGACAAAAATTGTTTGCGTTTACCAGAAATTCGATTTGATTGGTCCAAGAATCGGTTATGCGTGGGGAAGAATTATCACCCCCACAACGCCAAAAATTGGTAATATGTTGCTTACATATCGTCATTAATGGTGGAAATCATAAATTGAATATAAAGTTAAATTATGATCCATTTACAGAATATTGATTAATTTGCTTCAAATTAATTATTGAAAAAAATCTTTTACTCGATAAGAAATCTTGAAATTTACAATCCTCTGTCGAGAGAGCTATTTCAACCATTTCTCATTCGTAAAATAATATTCTACCTTCGACTATGTAAAAAAAGAGAATCAAATATAAATTGACAATAAACATTTGTGTGAAATAAAATAAATTGTTATATAGAGAAAATGAAATAATTAACAAAATAAAGTTGATTTCAAGTTCACATTTTTTAAAATTTCGTATTGAATCGTATCACTTCGACCAAGCGAAGCTTTTCACGCTCATTCTACAAATTGGTGTTCTTGAAACTATTCGAGTAATATTATTAAATAAGGAAATAAAATAGAAACAAATATGATTACAAATGAAAAAAAATATTTACAGTAAATAACAATCATATTACAAACACTAAAAATAAAATAATAAGCAAAAATGATTAAAACAAAACAATAATAAAATTAAAGGAATAAAATACGATTAACAAAAACTTAAGGACCAAAATAGTAAAAATAGAAACTAAAAGGACTAAAACAACAAAAATAAAAACTTAAAGGACTAAAATAGTAAAAACCAAAACTTAAGGTACTAAAATGTGACAAACAGAAACTTAAAGGACTAAAATATCACAAACAGAAACTTAAAGGGCTAAAATAGTAAAATAGAAACTTGTCTAAATAGAAAATACAGACATTTAAAGGACTAAAATAACAAAAATAAAAACTTAAGGTCTAAAATGGCAAAAACTGAAACTTAAAGGATTGAATCATAAATATATATAACCCAAAGCCAAAAACGAAAATATTAAACAGTAAGAGTACTATAAATGAAAATAATCCATAAATCATATAAAAGACTAAAATAAAATAAACAGAAACATAAAGGACCACAAAGTTATTAAACCAAATACCAAACAGTAACTAAAATGAAACTGTTACAAATACCATGGCCAAAGCCAAACATCAAGGAAAATATACAAAACATTAAATCGATGACTAAAATGAATTAATGAAAACATATACTGCTTAAGTATAAATAGCATTAAAGTATAATGACTTAAGTATAAATATATACATACACGAGCTTAAAGGTTAATAAGGACTAAATTGCAACATATACAAAACGAGAGCTCAAATTAAAAGAAAATAAAGTTGTATTGATGATTAAAATAAAAGGTTACAAAATAGAAATGACCTTTACGGTGAATATCCCAGGCGCAAAAATGCTCATCAGGTCCCCCATAAAATGACGTCGTTCGATGGCCCATATAAAAGTTGTAAAACACACCCAAAATACACCCAGCCCTCATTTACTTCTCTTCTGTATGAGTGAAAGAGAGAGAAATAGAGAGCTCCCGAGAGCTCTTATTGGATTCTAAGGATTCCCAGAATCCAGTAAGACTCCGCTGCATCGGCCACCGACGGACGTCGATAATTATTTTTCGCCGGCATCGAAGAAGAGAGAGGAATACACTATTCGAAGCATCTTTTAGCCATGGATGCAGTTTTGAGCCTGGTTTTGCCTAAAAATGACTCAAACTCCATAGATCTAAGAAGAAACCTTCGGTTCCGGTGACCCTTGGCTCATCGGCTTAAATCGAGGTAAACCAATGTCCTTCTCTCCTCATTTTTCTTTCGATACTTCTCTCTCTTTTTCTTTGAAACCCTGAGTCTCTCCCTTTTTTCAATCCCGAATGCTCTGTGTTCTCTTTTTTTTTCCTTTGGTTTTCACTCCTGTTTTATCACCGAATGATTCCCCTCTCCTTTTTGTTTTTTCTTTTTTCCTCCCCCAACCTCGAATGCTTCTCTTCTCTGTCTTCTCTTGTGATATAATGGTAATGGCCCCTTTGTTTTCGAGAGATGGGAGGATATCATTATCCTCTGTGACTGTTGGACAATCTAGGATTTACCCTAGATTTCTTTTTGTTTTTTATTTGGTCCCTTTGATTGATATGCACACTTTTGCACTGTTGATGATTTATGCCATTTGATGATAGCGGCGAAAAAAGTCGTCGGCATCAGTAGAGGTTGGAGGCAACAACAACTAGCTAGGGTTAAGGTTATGAAACCTTATTTACCATTGATCTGGACTGTTGGATGGGTCCAGATCAGATGGTCCTTGTTGGTTGGCGCTAGGGCAGAGAAGGGGAAACCCTAGTTCTGCTGGGTCAGTTACTGGGCCGGTTCGGGTCAGCCAATGGGCTACCGAGTAGCTTCAGGTTGGGCCTTAGTCGGGTTGATGCGTTGTAATCTGGGTTGAGCTTGTGGGTTGGGTCACTTGTGATGGGCTTCGGGTTGGCCTGGGTTGAACCTTTGTAATGTAGTGGCTAGCAAAAATTTTGTAAGAAAATAAGTAATAATAATAATAATAGTAACAGTAATAATAATAATAATAATAATAATAATAATAATAATAATAATAATAATAATAATAAAATAATAATATTTTTGTAGACCCAAACAAAAACGGGTGTCTACAATTGTATTATCTACTTTTTTAACAAAGAGTAATCAAATTTGTGCTCATAACCAGCATTGTTAACTTTAAATTCCATTGTCGAGATACCTACTTTCATATATACTTTCTCTAACATGTCGCCCTGTAAAAAGGCATTGTAGACATCTAATTAAAAAAGAGGCCATGCAAAAAGAGTAGCTAAGAAAAGCACATATCTAACCATAACAAGCTTGACAACAAGAGAAAAGTGTCCATATAATCCACTCCCTCTTACTGCTATAACACTTGACAACCAAATAAAAATAAGATTTACAATAAAATGAAAATTTTAATCCTTGTATTAAATAGGTTGTTGCAACCAACCCTTCACGATGAAAAGTCGACTGGTTACAACGATGAGGTTTTTTAAAAAGATTTTTAATGAAAAGACGGGAGTCACTACCAATCATTTTATTAAGGTGTGATTGAAACAACCAAAATCAAGTAATTTTAATAAAACATTTTTAATTTTATCAAAAAATACCAAATTTTGGTCTTTGAAATTAAAAAATCAGGTTCAACAGTTAGTTACGCTTGAGGAATGATTAACACACCATAACACCAAAAAATTGGTACCCAGTCAATTATCCTATATTTTAAAATTGGAATTTTTGAGTTCAGAGTTATATTTAATTTAAAAATCACTATGTATGCAAATTTTGAAAAGAATGTTCATTTACCAAGACCAATAACAACCACCCCCGACACTAGCGGAAGCTTCATTATCGATCCCAATAAACAAACATTGCCTTGATGATTTAGAGATCATGATGTAGGGTTTTAAAAAGGATGTTGATTTAATTCGAGAATTAACAGTTGTCACCCCCGGGCATTAATGCGGAAAACACACTATTAACCCCATAATAAATTAACATTGCCTTTTTAAAATCTAAATGCAATCAAATAATCAATTTATTGGACCTAATTATACTAGGTGTATTAATCAAAGCTTATTTCTAAATTAAAGTGTCAAATTATGAAATTTAAAGGACTTAGAGGACTAAACCTGAAAATATAGGCTTTAATATTAGTCTAACATATTTTAGTAATAAATTATGGAATCAAATAATCAAAATGAAACCTTAGGCATTAAGGCTATGACTTAATCAAATACTCACTAAATTAAAGGAATAAAAGAGAAATTAATATAAACTGAATGCTCTAATTATTAATCCTAATTGATTTAAATCAAGTATTGAATCGATTAATCGAGATGGAACCTCGAGAATTAAGGTGAAGACCAAATAAAAAAATTCTCCTAATTTTAAAGACTAAATTGAAATTAAACCTAAATGGAGGATCCAATATTAGGGCTGAGCAACGAAACCGAGAAAACCGAAAACCGACACGAACCGAGTAAAACGGTTCGGTTCGGATTGACCTTATACAGTTCAGTTTTCGGGTTGGTTTAAAGTCTCAATTCTATTGATACAGTTCGGTTTGGGTTTTTCATATAGAATCCATTTGTTCCATATTGAACCGAATAGACAATTTTTTTTAAAAAATTTATAGTTTCAAGTGATTTTTTCATTGAAAACCCGATAAACCGAACCGAAATGAAAAAACCGAACCGCTAAAAAAACCGAACCGAATTAAAAAAATTGGTTTCACATAATTCGATTTTTTAACCATTCAGTTTCGGTTTAAATTCTAAAAACTCGTTTATTTTGGTTCGGTTCAATTTTTAGTAAACAAACCGAACCGAACCGAATATACCCCTATCCAATATTAGTAATAAAGTTTTAATTAAAAAATGAAAGAGACAAAATTAAAAATAAATTAAACAATAGGCTAAATACGAAACAAATAAAAGAACACAACAGTTGACTTAATTAAAACCATACAAAAATAGTGCGTTCAAATTAAAACTTCAAAGCCACCATTTTAATGCCGTAAATTAGTTAAACTTACCACTTCAGGCCACTATTGACTCCCACCGACAATGACACTAGTCTAACCTGAACGAACCGAGACCTAACCTAATGTGATCCTAACCCACATATAAGACTCTGACCGGCCTAAGAGGACTCAACTCTTCTTTTCTCTTCCACGATGACCAACTATGGTCATATCTACGCAAGGTGATGAACCCAGAAGAACAAGGTAAACGCGATTCACCCATATCTTTCTCTCTTTTAGTTCGAATATAGGAAAACGGGTGTTAGAAATGTAACAAAAGGTTTTCGTTACCTTTGAAAAATGCTCAGGAATTTGATGTTTCTTTTCTTTTTATATTTTGAATCAGGAGAGAGAGAGCTCTGTATTACTTTCTTTAGGAAAAAAATGAGAGAGGAAGCTTGGTTTCCAATGGAAAAAAACTTGAAATGATGCATTCTATTCTCTTTTTCGAATGATGGGGACCGATTGTTAAGGTTAGGGTTATCTCCCATATTAGTTTAGGATGTGGTCTAATTAGGATTCAAGTTTGGGTGATGGACATGTGTATTGTAATGGTGGGTTAAGTGTAAATGGGTAATGATATGTATAAATGGACATGGACATATTTTTGGTTTAATTTAAATGGTTTATTTATTTTGGATTTAGGTATTTTATTTTGGGTTAACCATGTAATGAATTGGGCATTTGGATTTAATAGACTGGTTGATGAATATATTTGGGCTTTAAGTTTCATGTATGGTCACCCACCCAAACAAGCAAATATTAGAAATCTCTATGTCATAATCATCTTTTAAGAAATAAATTAAATTTAAAAAAATTATGATTTTATTTTGAAAATTTTGGATTTTTATTTAAATTGAAATTTGGAGTTGTCATCGACCTTTGGGTTAGGTAGGTCGAATACCTAAAAATATATTTTAAGGAATTAAAAAACATTTAAAAGACACATTTGGTATGTGTATTATTAAAAATTTAATTTTTAAAGATTCGTGAGTTGATTACACATGGAGAAGAGAGAGCACTCCAAATTTGAATTTTAAAGTTAAATTACAATTCTTTTATTTTATTAAATTTTGAAAAGAGAGAATTTCTTTATAAAATACTTTACTTGAGAAAGGTGATTTAATTCACTCGGTTTTATTTGAGAATGATCTCCCTTTATTAGATGAATTAACAGAAATTGAAATTCAGTCATGTTGGATGTAATTTTGTTAACTCACGACGTAAGACAAACATTGCCTTTGGTTATTTTAGAAAACGAGAAAACAAATGTGTCATTTATGAATGTAATAGTAATAAATGACATATAATTGATAAATGAAATATCAATAAAATATAATAAAACTAAACATGGATAAATAAATAAAATAATAAAACAAAGATAAATAAATAAAGAGAAAATAACTTCAGTGACCGAAAATGCCTTATAATATACAATTTTAACAAACTTTTTTTGGATTTGCGAAAATAACCAACAAATTCGCAACGCGAACTCCAATTTCGCAACTCAGTTTCCAAATTCGCAACACAGAAGTCAAATTCGCAAAGCGCGATTATTTTCGCAACGCGAATTTTATTTTCGAATTCGAAACACAATATTTATTTCGCAACACAAATGTAAACAGTATAATCGCAAATCATAACCTAAAACCTAAATCACAACTCAGTCCCATCTTTATCTCTCACTCTTTACGGCAACATCCGCCCCCATCTCTGGCGAAATTCGTCCCCGTCTCCGGCGAAATCCGTCTTTCTCCATCTCTCAAAGCCACCCTCACAACCATTCATAGTCAGAAATGGAAAATCAACCACCGAGGGTTAGTTTTTTAATTATTTTTATTTTGAAATTTTTGTATTATTATTAGATTTTTCATATTTAAATTGATGATAAATTTACTGATAATTTCAGTAATAGATTAACCATTTCATTTAGATTGCTTAGTAAATTCATTCGGTTGCTGCCAATACTGCTAAACTGTTTAGTCTTTAACCCTGTGAAGTTAGTATTTGTCTTTGTTTTGTCTTTTGGTTGAAGTAATGCAATTCATTCAAGTTTCAATTTGCAGAAGACTATTTGAAACTTAAATTCGCAACACAAAAATGAAAATCGCAACGCGAAACTAAAAATCTCGTTTGAAACATATTTGGCTTTGTTTTCACTGTTTAATATCATGTTTGTTTATAGTGTATAATTTGTAGTTTTTGGTATATCTAACTTGGTATGTTTATTGTTTTTGTAGAAATGTTTTTCGGCTTCATTGACCTTAAGGAATAAATTAAGCCTTGCCACTACAATTGCGTCGACGCTTACACCTGTACAAAGAAAATTGTTTTAGGATACTTGCTTCGGGCCAAGGCTAAAAGTACAATATCGGGGTGGAGATGCTATGTTGACCCATTTGTTTCTTCAGACCATGACTAACGATCTACCCGAGAGGATACAACGTGGTGATGAAGAGATATGGTTTCATTTTCCTCCGGCGTATACTTGTTTTGGGAGGGAGGAGTTTTGCTTAATCACTGGTCTATACTTCGGTCACGATGATATAGGTCGGTAAACTAGTCATATCGCCCGCCCATCATGGTTATCTCGGGTTTTTCCTGAGCTGGAAAAGGCGAAGCCGAGTTTACACGTCGATGACTTGAAGAGATTATTTGTTAAAGATGGTTTTACTCGGATGGATGACCTCGATGTTTTCCGAGTATGCCTTTTATTACTTTTTCATGCCGACTTTTTAGGAAAAGAGGCCAGAAAACCTATTTCTGAGGACCTAATATTATTGGTAGATGACCTAAATGCATGAAACCTATTTCCGTAATAGATTAACCATTTCATTTAGATTGCTTAGTAAATTCATTCGGTTGCTGCCAATACTGCTAAACTGTTTAGTCTTTAACCCTGTGAAGTTAGTATTTGTCTTTGTTTTGTCTTTTGGTTGAAGTAATGCAATTCATTCAAGTTTCAATTTGCAGAAGACTATTTGAAACTGAAATTTGCAACACGAAAATGAAAATCGCAACGCGAAACTAAAAATCTCGTTTGAAACATATTTGACTTTGTTTTCACTGTTTAATATCATGTTTGTTTATAGTGTATAATTTGTAGTTTTTGGTATATCTAACTTGGTATGTTTATTGTTTTTGTAGAAATGTTTTTCGGCTTCATTGACCTTAAGGAATAAATTAAGCCTTGCCACTACAATTGCGTCGACGCTTACACTTGTACAAAGAAAATTGTTTTAGGATACTTGCTTCGGGCCAAGGCTAAAAGTACAACATCGGGGTGGAGATGCTATGTTGACCCATTTGTTTCTTCAGACCATGACTAACGATCTACCCGAGAGGATACAACGTGGTGATGAAGCGATATGGTTTCATTTTCCTCCGGCGTATACTTGTTTTGGGAGGGAGGAGTTTTGCTTAATCACTGGTCTATACTTCGATCACGATGATATAGGTCGGTAAACTAGTCATATCGCCCGCCCATCATGGTTATCTCAGGTTTTTCCTGAGCTGGCAAAGGCGAAGCCGAGTTTACACGTCGACGACTTGAAGAGATTATTTGTTAAAGATGGTTTTACTCGGATGGATGACCTCGATGTTTTCCGAGTATGCCTTTTATTACTTTTTCATGCTGACTTTTTAGGAAAAGAGGCCAGACAACCTATTTCTGAGGACCTAATATTATTGGTAGATGACCTAAATGCATGAAACCTATTTCCGTAATAGATTAACCATTTCATTTAGATTGCTTAGTAAATTCATTCGGTTGCTGCCAATACTGCTAAACTGTTTAGTCTTTAACCCTGTGAAGTTAGTATTTGTCTTTGTTTTGTCTTTTGGTTGAAGTAATGCAATTCATTCAAGTTTCAATTTGAAGAAGACTATTTGAAACTTAAATTCGCAACACGAAAATGAAAATCGCAACGCGAAACTAAAAATCTCGTTTGAAACATATTTGGTTGTTTTCACTGTTTAATATCATGTTTGTTTATAGTGTATAATTTGTAGTTTTTGGTATATCTAACTTGGTATGTTTATTGTTTTTGTAGAAATGTTTTTCGGCTTCATTGACCTTAAGGAATAAATTAAGCCTTGCCACTACAATTGCGTCGACGCTTACACCTGTACAAAGAAAATTGTTTTAGGATACTTTCTTCGGGCCAAGGCTAAAAGTACAACATCGGGGTGGAGATGCTATGTTGACCCATTTGTTTCTTCAGACCATGACTAACGATCTACCCGAGAGGATACAACGTGGTGATGAAGAGATATGGTTTCATTTTCCTCCGGCGTATACTTGTTTTGGGAGGGAGGAGTTTTGTTTAATCACTGGTCTATACTTCGGTCACGATGATATAGGTCGGTAAACTAGTCATATCGCCCGCCCATCATGGTTATCTCAGGTTTTTCCTGAGCTGGCAAAGGCGAAGCCGAGTTTACACGTCGATGACTTGAAGAGATTATTTGTTAAAAATGGTTTTACTCGGATGGATGACCTCGATGTTTTCCGAGTATGCCTTTTATTACTTTTTCATGCCGACTTTTTAGGAAAAGAGGCCAGACAACCTATTTCTGAGGACCTAATATTATTGGTAGATGACCTAAATGCATGAAACCTATTTCCGTGGGGTTCATATCTATGGAAAGCTACCTGGAAAAAGTTGTCATCTGCCTTTGAGGACCAAAAAAGTTTGCGTGGCCATGGTTCCAAATACACTTTGGCAGGCTTTATTTGGGCCTTTAAGGTAAGAGTTTCTATATAATGTTTCCAAAATTATAATTAATTATTTAACAATTACTAATGTTTGTGTATTATATTGTTTGTAGATTTGAATATTTGAGGCTTTTCCCAGCATGCAGACATATGCAATTAAAAATTCAAATGATATTCCTAGGGCTATTTCCTGGAGGAGGATCCGACTGTTGGATTTGGAAGAGCTACTACCATATACGACGATGAATGATGTAAGTTAACACAAATACTACCATATATAAATAAGTTATTACTAGTAGACGTTTAACTTTGTTTGAGATTTTATATTGTTAGGAGGCCAACTATCCATTACAGAGGCTGACACCCATAGAGGTTGAGCTTGTTACTGATTGGTGGCAAGCTAGTAAGCGTTTTTTTGATGGAACGGATGATGAGCAACCCCCACTTCAAGAGCCATCACCTGATCGAGCCGATTATACACCTCCACAACGAGAGCCATCACCTATTCACTCACATCATCGAGCCTCTTCTCCACCATCACCTCATGATAGGCAACCAACAAAGATGCCATGACATTTATCTCCTTGTTCTCCACCACCACGAGATGAGTTAGGGGAGTTACGTGATGAGGTCAATGCTTTGCGTGAGGAGGTCAGTACTTTACGTGAAGACAATGGTGCATGGCGTGATGAGGTACGGTCTTTACGTGGTGAGGTAGAGGTTTTACGCGATGACAATGGTGCTTTACGTGGTGAGGTATCTACTTTACGTGATAAGGTCTTCGCTCTACGTAAGATTGTTGCATCGTTGCAGAATGAGGTTTATACTCTACGCAATGAGGTAAGTTTGTGTAATACTATACTAAAAATGCAAATAACCTTTTTTCGGCATTATTTATTTGTTTATTTACTGATTTATGTATTAATTTATTTTTAGCGGCCCGATAAGGTAGATGCTTTACGTCGGGTTTTTCTTGCACGACGGGGTTCATAC